AGTTAGCTCTGTCCACCTGACTTCAGATGAGGTGAACATAAAACCTTGATAGAAATGGAAAGGTACCTGATAATATCGGCAAAAAAACTGTGGAAACCTGAAAGTCACCAGTGTGCTTTGTGTGAAGGTAACTGAACAGGCCATGTATTGGGTCAGATGTCACTTCCCCTGCTTTGAAATGTTTGTTCACAATTATTTCCTGAATTGAGGGTCAGAATAAACTATAAATATCTCATCTTTTAAGTGGAATTGGCAAACAAGCAAGCACTGTGTTTTACCACACATGACCTGTCCCAAGTGGGCAAGCCCTTAATACAGTTGGGCCAGACTTGCTGTGTAGGTTCTCCCTGGTTGAGCAGCAGGTGCTTCCAGAGGAACAGATTCTGCAGCAGTGGCCTGTGCTGGAGTGGTACAGGTGCTGTGTCCCAGTACATGCAGGTCCTAGTGCCTGTTCCCCTCCTCCCCCAGCTTTGAGAAGGGAATTAAAATTAAACCCTGCTTGAGCAGAGCTCTTTGTAAGGGTCTACAGACAACCACAAAACAAGGCAGGCTGTGTGTAACATGGCAACTCTTCAGCTGATAAACCCAGGGGGAGAGCTTTCAGGTAAACGTGCCTCTTCCACCACTAGCTTAAAATACAGGCTATAGAAAAATACAGATTAGAGAAAGCAGAAATCTCTAATAAAATAGTCCCATGCTTTACATATACTGGGAAAGAATATAATAATTATTATTATTGTTTGTTATTATATTATTATTACTACTTTCAGCTTGTTTTTCTGGGCTGTTTTGCCCAGCCTAGTTACTTGCACAGAAGAAGAGCAGTGGGGCAGAGTCCCATGTCATAGCCTAACTTAGTGTCTCTCTTTGCTCACAGCCTATTTCCAAAAAGGGACAGAGTTCAAGGCTTGTGGCAGGATCTGGCTGTGCCAGTGCATGTTGTGTACTCAGCCTGGGGTGACAGCTGTCTGCCTTTCACAGAACGTCGTAGTTCTGCTTACAAAAACCTCTGGTCTTGCTGACAGCGTGTGTATGCACTGCTTGTATTTCTTTCATGCAAAATTTGTGGTTTTCACCTTCCTTTTCAGCTGAATCGCAGTGATAGTGACAGTTCCACACTATCCAAAAAGCCCCCCTTCGTTCGGAATGCCATGGAGAGACGAAGTGTCAGAGTGAAACGCGTAAGAACATCACCATTTTTATTTTCCTCTAACACAGACACATGCAAAAATCATAAAACTGTTTTGAAAGAAAAATTTGCAAACATAAATCAGTTGCCACATGCTTTCATTCACAACCTTTTCTTTGTGTGCAAGAAGTCTCTCAAGGATGCTTGGAAATATCAAATTATGACAGGAACGTTTAAGTTAGAACTCAAAAACATTTAATTTAGGCAAATGGTTCCTGGTATTTTTCATCTTGTCAGAGAAGTAGCACAAACAGTTTTGCTGTGTTTATTGTTGTGAGATTCTTAAGTGTTTATAATAAATTTGAGGAGCTCAAAGAGAAGATGAGAATGATGTCTCAGGTGACCCTGTTGTAGTGATACCATGGCACACAATAAACCCCTGTGGCCATTGTGATGGCAATCACTAAACTTCCCCCAGGATACTGACACTGAACTCCTAAGGAGATGGTTTTCTTGGGACAGCTTGTGTTTGAAACTAGCAGAAGGCAATATGTTACTGGAAAAAAGAATCACAGGTTTTTCTGCAGCACTGTGGATTCATCTGGAGATGAGACATTAAACTTAGGAGGAAGGTGTGCAAGCAAGACTTGCTCGATTTGGAGATGCTGCCAAGGGAGAACTTGAGTGGAAGCACAGAAATGAAAACATTTATCTATAAGAATTCCTTGAGTTTGTGGAATCTGTCTCAAGATTGGAAAGCAGGATCAATAGAGATGGTTTGTGTGAAGAGAAGCATTAGAAGGATGGGTCTCACAATGTGTTTGGCACTTTCTGGGTGGAGTGGTTGGGACGGTTCTCCTCAGTGTTCACACACCCCTTCTCTTCCAGCCTTCAGCCAAGTCCTTCGGTACAGAGCGCCTGATCCGCACCTCGCTGGACCTGGAGCTGGACCTGCAGGCTTCAAAAACCTGGCACGACCAGCTGGTTCAGGAGATCTCAGTGCTGAGGGAACTGAAGGAACAGCTGGAACAAGCTCAAAGTCAGGGTGAAAAAGAGTTGCCACAGTGGGTGAAGGATGATGAGAGGTTTCGACTGTTGCTGAGGCTTGTGGAGAAACGAGTAAGTCATACCTGCCTTGGGGTTTTGTTCCACTCGCTGGAGAAATTTTGGAAACAGGGGACTTTGGACAGTCAGTAAATGAAGCCTGAGCACTGTTAGTCACTCTTGTCTGCCACATACAGCTCAATCAAGCTGTTAGTCCTGAGCCCTTGCATTCACAGCACAGAGATTTGCTGCCCTAGCAGAAGTGTGAATACAAGAAGTCACAAATGCCATCTGTTCTGCCAAGGGTGTCCCCCCAGTCAGCAGGAGGTGTGGTGTGTGGTGGTTGGCACTTACCTTACTCTACATCACACCCTCCCCCATGCACAGGGCTCCTTCTCAGCTTCTGGGGTTTCTCAGCACCTCTGCTGGCACCAAGCTATGCTGGCACCAGCTATAGAAGGCAGTTGGTGTGAGGTGCTCTTCGGGGTGCTGTGTGTGCTGATCTTCTGCCTTTAAAGATCTGTCAAGAAGATACAAAGAGAGTACTGACAGAAGCCATTATTCTTACCACAGGCAGGAAGGACACCTTACAAAAACTCTCTCCCTTAGAACAGTTAGTTGTCAAGCTTCAGTTTAGCTACTGTGGCTTGTGTCTTCCAGAGTCAACAGTTTCCAGACCCCTCAGACCTGCAGCTGAAATGGAGGTCAGTTAGGATAAGAGAATTCCTCCTGGAAACACAAACAAGTCTTCTCCATTATTCATTTAGGTGCAAAATCCAGAACACAAGTGTGAGCTCAAGGCCGATAAAATGATGAGAGCTGCTGCCAAGGACGTCCACAGGCTGCGAGGGCAGAGTCGAAAGGAGCCTCTGGAAGTGCAGTCATTCAGGTAATCTTATGTAAAGGGGAGGAAAAATCGACTACTGCCTTGATTTCTCTGACTGAGATGCTGATGAGGAAGACTGATCTCTGCAGAAGTAGTTAACTGCTCTGCTTAAATAAGAACTTCTGTATTTTCATATCCAAGTATAAGGTCTGACTCAGGGGAATTAGTTGCAGCACTGCACATGATCAAAGCAACCAGCATTCTCCAAGTCATTCCCCACCTGCCAACAAGTTGTGTACCACAGAAGCAGCCCTTTGCTTCCCTAAGTAACAGACCCAGAAAAGAAAAAGCCCTGAGCCTTTCTGAAATGGCTTTTGCTAAGGTCAGTATTGTGGCTTTAACTCATGTCTGATCAGTAAATAAAAGGTGTAGGCTGTGAGAGGATGTACATCTGCTCCCTGTGGGGACGGCTGGTGGGATCATGTCTCATGTGGATGCTGCACATTTCTGGCAGGATTTCTGTTGCATTAACAACTGATCATCTTTTTTCAGAGAGAAAATGGCGTTTTTCACACGGCCAAGAATAAACATCCCAACGCTCTCTGCGGACGACGTGTGATCACCATAAAGTATTTGCTTTCTGGACAATTCTACAAATGCAGATTGGGTTTTGAAGTTATTTATGTGGTATTATGAAGGCACCAAGGCATTTGTATATTAGAGCTTTTGTCAGTATGTGGATGTTTTGAAGATTATTAGGTTAAAGTTATATCATCACAGAAACCAGCATTAAAGTGACAAGATTGTATAGTTTGTATATTTAGGAATGTATTTTTGGGAAATAGAATTTTAAATAAGAACAAAATGCAGCGTAAGGTGCTGTTATTCTTAAATAATGCTGTTTAGACTTTTTGTACAGCTCTACCTTTTAGAGGTTTTACTGCAATAAAATAAATTTGAAGGAACCTCACCCCTACCTTCTATGATGTCCTGCATCGGACTCTCCTCCGAGTGATGTATTTTGTACCCTGTGGGGAATGCTGGGAGCCAGCTGGGACTCCCAAGTGCTGTGAACGAATCTCTGTGAGCTGTGAAGCATTTGTGTTTCCTGCCAGGTCATAAAAGTAGGTGTGAAGTTCAGAATACTTGCACTTTTAACGTTTGTACTACAGCTCATGTCTGTAATGGGTCTGTTAAGGTAACGTGGGGAGCCCATTGAAACCACTGCTGTGGGAGGAGGGCTGCAGGTCTAAAGTCCATTTTAGGTTTTTCCAATAAAGTGACCTTTCTGGACAAACCTGCCTTCTTGCTTTTTGTCTTGAGTGAATCTTCTCAGCCCCTGGCACCTAAACTGGGCTTCTTTTGTGTTGCCAGCTGGAAGCATATAGCTTTTCACGTCTTGTCACAGGAGATGCCGTAATGGACACATTTCATATAATGATGGGATGTGCTGATCTGGAAGGGACACACAGGATCATCCTGCCCAGCCCCCCAGCAATCCCCCCTGTGCATCCCTGTCCTGCAGCGCTGTCCAAAGGCTCCCGGAGCTCCGGCAGCCTCGGGACCGTTCCCTGGGCAGTGCCAGCCCCTCTGGGGAAGATCCTTTCCCGATCTGACCTAAACCTGACACAGCTCCGGCCGTTCCCTCGGGTACTCGCTGCTTTCCTCCCTGCCTGGACATTCCCTGTGCCCATCCTGTACCCCCTGCTGGGGATGGGACACGTTTCAAAGTCCTGGGTAGTGACACGGAATGCGGGGCTTTGGGGGTGCTATTCCCTCCTCCCTTTCCCTTTTCCTTTCCCTTTCCCTTTCCCTTTCCCCTTCCCTTTCCCTTTCCCCTTTTCCGTTCCCGTTCCCGTTCCCTCACGCCGCGGGTGTCGATGGCTGCCCCCGTTCCCAGGGCAGCACTCCCGGCCCCGCCGCGGTCCTCCCCGCCGCCCGGAGGCGCTGCCGCCTTGGCCGCGCCGCTCCGGCCGCTTTCCGGTTCCCGCGGCGCCAGTCCCGGTTCCGGCCGCCCGAGGATGGAGGCACGCGTGGCGCAGTCCGCGGCGAGGCTGGCGCGGCAGGTGCGGGGCCGGGCCGGGCCGGGGGGACGGGACGGGACGGGACAGCCGGGCACGGCACCGCACGGACCGGGAGAGCCGCGGGGCTCCGCGGGGCGCAGGTGACGGGCGAGCCCCGGGAGCGCTCCCCGGGTACCGAAGCCCGGGCAGTGCCGGGAGCCCCGGGCGGGTCGCTGGGCCCCGCGGGAGCGGCACGTCTGTCTGGGAAGGGAAGGCGGAGAGCGGGCAGGGCTGAGGCGCTCCCGGGGCTGCTCCCGTCTCTGCCGGGGCTGAGGGCAGGGCTCCACGGCTGCCCCGTCTCACACTAGGGCGGGATCGCGGCAGCGTTCCCAAAAAGCTTGGCAGAGCAGGCAGCGGAACCGGCCCCGCACGGCCTGGTGTCACTGTGCTCTGGCTGGGCAGGGATCGCCCGGTGCGGCCACGGGAGGCCCGGGAGCCCTGGGCAGCCAGGGAGGGATGCTCGCTCCTCCTGTGTGCTGGCACGCCGGCCTCCTCGAACAGCTGTACTGCAGCCACAAGGTGCTTCGCTTTGGGAAAAGATGGTGACAACCCTCCGCATTTTCAGTGACGAGAATAATAAAAAATAGAACTGCCAGGTCTGTCCTGGTCAATGACCGTATGACATGGAGTGCAGAGGCAGCTTCAGGAACGCTTTGACTGCTCCAGGGTCACTTCTCACACCTTGCCCGTTGCCTCAGGAGCATCCAGCTGAGAGGTTCTGGACTTTGGCCTTTGGGTTTTTGCCTGCCATACTTGTGTGCTCTTGAGCAACTTTTGAGCGTGTTTCCTGCTCACAAATATATGACAGGCACTGAGATAATAAATCTGGCGGTTGAATCTCTGCAGCTCCTTCTTGCCTTTGATTTTCTCTTCCTCCTTTGTTGATGCTAGGAGAGGAAGGACATCTCTGGTGTTCTGGCAAGGTGGCTCTCCCTTTGCTGTCACTGCTGCTTGGTCTGTAGTCCATAAGCAGGTTCCAGGCACTGGAAGCAGAGCAGGAGGGAGCAGGAGTGTCCAGGAGGCTGCAGGAGGCCATGCAGAGTTACTGAGGCTGACTCTGCCTGTCACTCCCAGCCACATGCTCCCTGTTTCCAGCTGCAGCATGCTGGCACTGGAAGCTGAGCAGGAGGGAGCAGGAGTGTTCAGCTCCAGCTCCAGGAGGCTGCAGGAGGCCATGCAGAGTTACTGAGGCTGACTCTGCCTGTCACTCCCAGCCACATGCTCCCTGTTTCCAGCTGCAGCATGCCCTGGAGCCTGTGGGGAGCCAGCCTGCAGGAAAGTAACCCAACAAAGAGCAAGCAGTGTGTGCTCAGCTGGCTCAGCAGGGCTTGGCAGAGTAGGAGTAGAGATAAAACTGAGCATGAGGCAAGGAGGGGAAGGAAGAGTGGTGTTCTGCTCCCTTTGCCATGCTCTCTCAGGCCATTTACTCTCCTTTATGATTTTTTTTTCTTCTGATGGAGAAAAGCTCTGTCATATTAAAGCCCAGAGACAGAAGCCTGTGCAAGTTTCGTGTTGCCCTCCTGCTCAAGTAGGGTTCTGGGAAGACAGACTTACATGCTAAGGGAAAATGTAAGGATGATTTTGGTCCTTTGAAAGAGCTGTAGTTTTTTTGTATTCACAGGTGAGGGGAAGATTTCTAGTACTCAGCTGAGCAAAGAGCCCTTGGAGATGTCAGCATGGCCTCATGTAATTCCCGCAGCTCCTCATGAGGTGGTCATCAGGTATGACCCTTTACTGACAAGTTGTGCTAGACAGTGCAGGTAGAATGAACCAGGAGGTGACACTTGCTGACCTGAACAGCAGCTTTCCCCTTCCTTTTCTCAGTCACACATCTTTTAGATCAGAAGTGTATTGGCATTGTCTCCCTTCCTCACTTGGATGGTACCATGAGACAGGAGTTGTTACAAGGCTTAGCTGTAGTTTTGTAGTTTGTTTTTTAGGAAGAATGTAGCATTGATATCCTTTCAATAACATCTAGCATTCACAGATCTTTGCTAGAGAATTAACTTTATCACAGGGTGCTGTAGTAAGAGGCATTTCTAATGTAAATATCTGAAGACCTTTTTTCCAGGCAAGCTCAGCAACATGTTTTTGGGTGTGGGGGTCACAGCCTCATAGCATACCTCAAGTTGGAAGAGACCCATGGATCATCAAGTCTACCTCCCCACTCCTCACAGGACTACCTGGAACTAAACCATATTGTTAAGAGCATATTCCAGATGCTCCTTGAACCCCAGCAGGTTTGGTGCCACAGCCACTTCCCAGGAGAGCCTGTTTCAGTGCACCAGCACCCTCCCAGTGAAGAACCTTTCTGAACCAGTCTGAACTTCCCCTGACACAGCTGCATTTCATTTTCCTGTCTCCTGTCACTGGTCACCAGAGGAAGGAGAGTGCTGAGTGGTGTTCCCAGAACAGGGGTGCCCCCATTGCCAGTTTGGAGATGCAAGCTGTACTCAGCTGTGTGGCTGTCCCAGCCCAGCTGCTGGGATCTCAGCCTCATCAGTTCTGGAACCCAGTGAGTTCAGGCATTGCTGAGTTCAGGCTTTTCTACTGGGTTGTTTTGAGTGAAGACTTCATAAGCTATTGATGAGCACAATAAAAGGGAGACTGAAATGGCAACAGCAGCACTGGGGTAGGCAGCTGCTCCACCATGGTGAAACCTTTTGCTCTCAGTTCACACTCAAGTAACAACGTAAGGACTGGAAAATGTCTGAAGAAGGGGAGCACTAAACAGGAGAGACAAATGTGACAGTCTGGGCTTGGCCACATCTGGAATGGCACCATGCTGAATGCCTCCAGGTGCCAGTGCTGTGAATTTGCTGGTTTGATGGGAAAAAAGTAGATGAGACTTGCTGAACTGTGGCACTATTTTAGAGGGTTTTATCTCCTGGCCAAATCCAAGTGATTACAGTCACCCTGTAGAAGAGCTCTTTGGGCCAGATGTCTGCCCAGGGGTCAGTGATTCCTGGGCACTGTGGTTCTGGCTTCTGCACAAGGATAAACCTCTTTTCTTGTCCTGTGGTGTAACAATATGGAAAGAAGCTCCAGTAGGTTTCTGGTCATGTCACCTCCTGTGAGTCTTCCCTTGGGTGGCAGAGGTGTTTGTGATTGTGTAGGAAAATACAACTCAGACTCCTCTTTGGTAAAGCTTGTCAGTGGTACTGAAATATGCCAGTTATAGCTTGGGGGGAATCTTTTAATGCAGGAGGAATATTTGTGAGCTCTTGTTGTCTTGGACCTGCAGGGATTTTAGTTTCAAAAGCAGAATGTGATTTTCTGGTTCTGGAGAATGTTTGCCTTCGATGCAGAACTCTCCTTGGGGTCTTGGAGACCTGTCCTGAAGCTGATAACTTCACTAGAGGGAAGATAATGCTGTGTGGACACAGAATTTACAGATTATGTGATAGTAGGGGTTGAAGATACCTTTGCACTTAGGTTTAAAGCACTTTTTAGGCTTGGGGGGATGAGTTAGATATGTCACTGCTCTGATGTTTATAATAATAATGGCACTGAAACTTACAGTGGCACAGCTGTGAAAACACAGTTGTGCTGTTTTTTAACTTGAAGTATAGAAGATTTTACAAATGGGTTGATAAATTTTGTGAAATGCTACCAAATCAAGCCAGGAAGAAAAGTTGAAAATAAACCAGTCTATTTGCTGTTGCTTATGGGGGAAGGTTTGTGTATGTATGTAAATGAGAGAAAAATTGATTTTTGGGACACCTGCCTTGGGTTTTGAAAAGAAAAGCTGAAATGGGACTATTTGAAGTGAGTTGATTATAAGGTACAGCTGTGCTGTTCAGTGATTTTAGTTGTGTAAATGCCAAACCAGAGGATTTGATAGAGGTTTGGGTTTTTTTCTCAAAGTCCTGTTTCTTCACATCCAAACTGCAGGAAGCAGCATTGTTCTCTGTAGCAGAGGAGATCTTGAGGTTATAACAGAAGTGTGCCATAAACTGAAGCACAACTGAAGAATGACCTCAAAAGTACTGATTTCCAGCTTGGCCCACAGATAGGCCAATCTTAAGATTGTTTTACCTCAGCCTAGGTTTTTGAGCATGTGTGCTTAGTTACAGCAGCATTCCTGGGACCTGTTGTTCAGGTGGACACTCAAGACCAAGAGATTCAATGGCCCAGTTTTTTTCCTAATTAAATAGTCTGATTGTTTGAAGAGCAACAAAGCAAATGAGGCCTTTTTGGTAAGGTTTGGTGGCCTACAATAATAGCCTGAGCTGTGTCCTGCTGTGGAAGTGCTGGCAGAGGAGAGCCTGGATGAGGGACCAAGGCGATGCCAGGCCAGGGTGGGCAGTGCTCACTGCCTCCCTCCATAGCAGCACCAAGTCCCTCAAACCTTGAGTAGCCTCCAGGATTCTGTGTCAGAGCCAGCTTTGTGGCTCAGGGCACGAAGCCTGTTGTGGGGAGGACAAGAGATGGACAACAGAGATGAAACTTCAGCTGTTTGGTTTCTTCAGGGTGGGGGGTGAGGAAGATTCCTGCTCCTTGCAGCAGCTTCGAACCTTTTTCCTGCTGACAAATTTTGTCTGAGTTGAGGCTGTGAAGTCTGGTGGGACACAGGGAAGAGTGTTTGGAACATAGAGGCCCTCCTATGAAATTCCCAAGTGCTCCTGAATGCCTTGTGTCAGTTTTAAGGGAGAAGACATACCTTTTCTTCCTGGATGGGGCAGGAAAGGTTGTGTGGCTGGGTGCAAGTGAGTGCACCCTGCAGAAATGCCCCTGTGGAGCAGCACACTGCTTCTGGCATTCCTGTCTCTAGGGGTTTGAGCTTGCTGCGGTTGTGTGGTAGTTGTTGTGGTTTTCTCCTCTGAAGCTGTGGCCTGTGAGATGGTGAAACAGGCTAAAGGGAATTTTGAGTCAAATAATTTGATATCTTTGTTTAAAAAGTTGGAGAAAGTGCTTATTTGGGGAATATCTCATTAGCATGTCCTGTTGTCATTCTTGTACTTCTGTGTTAAGTGAGACTATTTTCTCACTGCCTTTTTTAAAGAGTATTTCACAATCCTTGTTTTTCACGCAAAAAGAAACAATCTCCAAATATTGTTTGGAATTAATCAGCTTACATGTCATTGCTGTTACTTTTACAAGGCAACTTCACTATGCCTGAGATCTTGCAGCTCCTCACCTCCTGTCCCCTCTCCAGGAATTGCTGTGTGACAACTCAATTTCCTTTTCAGGAAAACGAGATCAAGTTGCTAAGTGCAGAAATCGAGCGTCTGAAGAACTTTGGGTGCTTGGGAGTCTCCCCGAGCTTGGAAGGGTTGCGAGACGAAAACGCAAAACTCAAGTACCGGTTAAACTTCCTTAAGAAGGTAAGGGAATAAAAAATCATTGCTGGACCTTGTGGGTTTTTGTTGTCATTAGGACAAGCTAAATAAATGGTGTGAGTTTGTTACAGGTCTGATGTGTGACAGCATGCTAGCTCTGCATTCTGACACCTTAATTGGTGGCACATCAGATATTTCTTGGTTCTTTAAACGGAAACCTGTTTTATGGAAGATGTCAGTAGGTCAGTAAGCCCACATGGTCATGTCTGGGGCAAGTTTTCAACCAGGTGGCCCAGCTGAGGCCTGTCCCAGACTTACCAGCACAGATGAGAGAAGTAGTGCAGCCCTGCAGTCAGGGGAAGGTTTGTGCTGGGAGGTTCAGCAGGAGAATCGTGTGATTTTTATGTTGTATACATTGCTCCTGTGCCTGGAGGTGTCAGCCAAATCTGTCAGCTGTGCTTTGCCAGGCAGCAAAGGAGAAAAGTGGGATGTAACAGCTCTTCAGATGTTGTGAATTTAGCCTTCTGGATTTGTGTGGTTTTCTTTTTCAGAGCCTTCAAGAGGAAAGAAGTAAATCAACCAAAAGCATGATTAATATCAACAGCTGTCTCCAGGAGATCTTTGGAGCTGCCATTCAGGCTGCCTACCCAGACTTAGAAAACCCTCCTCTGGTGGTGACACCAAGTCAGCAGCCCAAATTTGGGGACTACCAGTGTAACAGTGCCATGGGCATATCACAGGTAAATGATGTAAACAATCTCAACAACGAAGCAGAAATGGGGATGTTGTCTGTTGGAAGCTAAGGGATAGACTGCACAGTGAGAGTTGCAATATGGGACTTGTTCTGGGCTTGCTGCAGGTGTCTGAGCTGCAAATTGAGTATTGAATGGCATTTTAAGGGAGGCATTGGCCTTTACAGAGCTGGCCTTTAAACCTCTGTTCAGGTGCCTGGTGTGAGAGAGTTAACGTGTGTGGCACAGAAAATCTGCTTGGTTCATGGGATCTAAATCAAATCAGGATTTAAGTGCTGCATCGATTTACTAATGATGTGCAATTAACTACCAATTAGTGAGTTGTATGTTTGGAACTGAAAACAGCAAAACAATAAATCACGATTCTGGAGAATTGCAAAATCTTGAGAAACACCTGCATATCTCTAACTGCTCTTCTCTAATGCCAGGAAAGTGTAATATCCCCACGTTTGTGTGCACATACCCCCTTCTCACAGGGCAGGTGACAAAGGGGCATCTCCACCTTCCCCTCTTGGCTCACACCTCCCGTTGCTGTGGGTGCCGTGGTTTCCTCCTGCTCACAGACACACACGGCAGAGCAAAGGGGCCCAGGTGCTGACCTGTGTGCTCTGTTGAGTTTGGATCCCTGCGTCTTACATCCCAAACTGCCCTCCCTGAGCTCCAGCCAGGCATTGTCAGGCCTGGGCATGCTCAGGAAGCGCCTTCTCAGAGCCCAGCCAAGTGTGGATTGCTGCTTGGGTGCTACCCTTCATATTCCTCTGGCTCAGTCCTTTGTTTAACATCTCTTGTTAATTCCCTGGGTACAGGGAGCTTGACCAAAGAGGACCTGAATGCAGTCAGAGACACTTCAGCAGTTGCTCAGCCTGCTCAGTGGGCTGGGACTGTGCTGAAGTAAATCCAGGAGGTGTGGGAGAAAGAAGGTAGTGTGTTCTAGCTTAGGTGCTGAAGCACCCAAACTTTCAGTGTACTTTGGGTGACTAAGTAGACACTTTGTAATTACAGATATTTTTATTTGGCAATCAAAACAGAAACACCTATTATACACCTCCTGTTGTCAATTCACCTTTATTAACCCATTAGACTGTCAGTTGAGACCCTGAGCTTGCACTGCCACTCTGCTGTCCCAAGTTGTCCCGTACAGTGAGCGTGACTGGGGCAGCAGGGGTACGATACGTGCCAGGCAGCAGGCTCTGGGCTGCGGTGCCAGGCAGAACTGCCCTGCCCGACCCCGTGTCTCCCCTCAGTTCATTAGCATGTTGTCACTGTGCTGCTGTCCTGGGTGACTGCACTGACACGGGATTCAGGGCGCTGCCACTTCCCTGACCGCAGCCTTACCCCAATTAAGTCGCGGTTGGGATTCTCGAGCAGTCCAGGCTTCCCAGCACCACATAACTCGGTGTCTGAACAGACCCCTTCCAGCCAGGGTTTGAGTTCCAGGTTCCAGCTGTGGTGGTGAATAAGGGTTCCTAGTGCTGGGCTTGGCTGTGGAGTTTGTTCCCTGGGCAGGCAGGCTGTGCACTGTGCTGGAGCTTGGCTGTGCTCACACAGGCAGTGTGTCAGCATGGCAGAGCCAGGGGATGAGAGCAGCAGGTTAGGGACTTTCTGTCAGCCTGTTTTAGGGGCTTGGCTGTGATGCAGGTCTTCCCAGGGTGTCCCCTGGGCAGAGCTGGAACACGGGTCAGGGTCACTGGGACTGCCAGCAGAGAGGGAAGTGCCCTGACTGGGACAGCACTGGTACGTGCCAGGCAGCAGCCTCTCCCTGCAGGCGCACTGATGTGGAAAGGACCCTCACAAATGCCTGTTGTTTTCCTGGGAGCTCATTAGCATATTAATGCTTGGGGTTTCAGCCAGGAGTTCCACTGGAGTGTGGTGACCTTTTCTGGATTGGTTCACATAATGTGCCTGTAATCTGGTGTAACATGCCAATAATCTGGGTTTGTATTTATTTTTCCTGTAGTTTACACTTCGAGTAAAACTAAAGCTACTGAGGTTTGCTTTTCTTGCCCTTTTTAAGCCTTTACTATCTTGTAAGAATCCTGTGTATGACAGGTTAAACAGAAAACTGAAACTTGAGTAGAAGTACATTTTAGAGCAGACTGTAAATTAGCAAATACAAGCAGTGAGTGTAAATTCTGAGTTGACAAAGAGGTAGATCATCTTTGTGGCCTCAGTGGAGTTGTTTTCAAACACATCACAATAATACTGGAAAATCGTGTGCTCAGAAACAAATACTTGTGGTAATTTTATACAAGTGTGAATGTAATGTTCTGCAAGGGACAGGTTGGACTAGCTTACAGAGTCCTCCTAAAGGGTGTTTTTGTAAGATTTGCACAAAGCTGTGTGAAAGATGCTTTGGGAACGGACGGGGAAGTTGTGTAGTTGGACTAGGTGATCTTCAAAGGTCTGTTCCACCTCAAACCACTGTGATACTATCATTGTATGCAAACTTGTGTACTTGTGTCCTGTTCTTTGAGTTCCTCACAGTGGGCTGCTCATGTCTCCAAGGGAAAAGGAGAGCTACTTTAACAGCAGTTTTTCTGATGCTCTTTGAAGAAAATTGGGTAGTGCTGGGATTATCTTTCTTTGCTTGGGTTGTTGGATTTTGTTTATTTATTCACTTATTAATCTATTCACTTATTTATTTATTAAGCTTGAGACTAAGATGGGACTGAAGGCAGTTTGCTTTGGTTGTGTTTAATCATAAATAAACAGACCTGCTCTGAAACCACACTCAGCATCTGCTGGAGACACAGTTCAGAACTTCAAATGTGAATGCTGGCAGAGCTGAGGACACCCATGAGACTGATCAACAGGATTGTGAAGCACTGAAGGACTGTGCCAGCTATGTTGATTTTTAAAGGGTTTGTCCCTTTTTCTAGCTTAGAAAAATACAAATTTGCCAAACCACTTAGCAGGTTTTAAAAAATAGCCTGGGAGATTTTCTTCTGACATAGGGACTGCTCTGAGCAGAAGGAGTTGAACGTGTTGGGTCCAGTCAGGCTCGTGCTGTGGAGAACTGATCTAATCTGTAAAATTGGCTCAAGATGTTTCTCTTTGTGTGCACCTCTGTGTTATGAAGCTGAAGGACCGTGAGGATGTTTCAGTCCTTCAGTATCTGTGCTGTCTGTTTTGCTCTCTGGAATGTTTCAGAGGACTGAATTTTCCTTGATCTTTGTTGTGTTCCAGATACTGCTCAAAACCAGGGAACAGAAGGTTAGCCCACGAGAAATAGCGGAGAAAATAGTAAAAAATATTCCTGCCAATGAATGCATTGAGAAGGTTGAAATTGCTGGTCCTGGTAAGATAGTTTTGTTTGACACACTTTGTGTATCTTAAAATAAAAAGGGCAGTTATATTGTGAGAGGGAAGGTGAGTTGAGTTCTACTGTTTTGTGCTTTAAAACTGCAGTTTCACAGTGGATTAGTTTCTTCTGTCTTGGTGAGCTTTGTAGCACTCAGACTTGTACAGCAGCAGAGAATCTACTTCTGTATTAGAATTAGCAGGTATGATCATGAGCCCTTTAATTAGCAATTTTCCCACTGATCCTTAAGGGAGCAGCTTTTCCTCTTTCAATACTGGTGATGGGAATCAAGCCACAGTCATGAAATCACAGCAAAAATGGACAGCTCTTGCTGTTGCTTGCATGGTGAGGAGACCTTGTCCTCTCAGAACTGAGAAGCTGGAGTAGCATGGAGGTTATTAATTGCTGCATTTGTTTTGTTCCTGTGACTCAGGGAAAAATACAAGGACTCATATTCCTTAGGGCTTCAGCAGAAACACAAATTCCATGGCACAGCCCTTTTAGGGCTAGGGCTTGTTCATTTGCTCTGTGAAGGAGAAGTAAGACAATGTCATACCACGAGCATAAATTATCCCAGATGAAACTATATGTTTTAGGATATTAATTTTTTTAAAAGAGATAAAGCAGGATTTGGTTTTGCATTCTGGAAACCAAATTATTTATTTTCTCACAAAAAATTGTTTCTATAAATTCATTGTTGAGTGATAGTATACAAAAAGAAGTTATGTCAATGGTGTAGCTTGCAGCATCTGACTCCTGCAGTAAAGGCTATAGTGATGTGAACAGACTCTTCTAATCTGGAAACAGAAGAGAAGAGTCTGTCTTCAAGGGACAGCTTTGTTGTCCTGTGACTGAAAAATGTTTTGTCAAGCTGACTTCTTGTGCTCTTGTGCTTGATGCATGAAAACAGAAATCCAGGGGGGAAGGAAACAAAATGGTTTGAGGCGCTTCTGCAGCCCCAGCACTCATTGCTGGTTTTTTCCTGCAAAGGTTTTATCAATGTCCACTTGAGAAAGGACTTTGTGTCGAAGCAGCTGAGCAGTTTATTGATCAGCGGAGTTCAACCACCAGCTATTGGCAAAAGGAAAAAGGTACAGCAGTAAGCACACAGCCATCTTGCTACAGGGGAGATGTTCTGGACTGCAGGTATCTTTAAAATTCCCGTCTGAAGGGATGTTCTGAGCAGATATCCATGTCAGCAGGTTGTTAGATCAGTGTATGTGGGATGTGGCATAGGAACTGGGCCACGGGTAGGTCACTTGCACTTGCTGTGGTCTCTGGTGGCTGAGGGACAGGGCTCCCTGGGGGTGGGGGTTGTGCCCAGGTCAGTGGGAGTGATCCCTGACCCTCAGCTGGGCTGCAGCAACACTCGCTCTGGTGTTCCTGCTGAGGGTCAGCGGAGGTGGTTCTCCTTTCCACTGCTCCCCCTAACAAAACCCAGATCAAACACACGAGGCGTGGTAATGGCCTTTTATTCACGTGTTCCTTTGGTTCTGTGCCCAAGGTGGTGGTGGATTTTTCCTCCCCCAACATTGCCAAGGAGATGCACGTTGGCCACCTGCGCTCCACCATCATCGGCGAGAGCATGTGCCGGCTCTTCGAGTTCGTGGGTTATGACGTTCTGAGGTGAGGCTCAGTGGCTGGGTGTGGTGGGCTTGCTGGGCTCTTTGTGCAGTCCCTGTCTCTGTGTTCTGCTCTGTATTGGTCTCAGTTTATAAGCACACAGCAAGTAACCCTTATGGGTAGTAGATACTAAGCTGAGCAAGTGTAGCAGTGTCAAGGCAGCAGCTTCTGTGCAGTGAAATTGGGGAGCTTGCCTGGGCTGGATTTCTGGTATTATGTGTGTTTCTTGTAGAATATATATTTTAAAAATGTGTGTATTTTAAAGCCTGTGTTTAAGAGATCATTATTATTGTCCTCTTCAATTACTCCAAGGTTGAACCATTTAGGAGATTGGGGCACGCAGTTTGGAATGCTCATTGCTCACCTCCAGGACAAATTTCCAGATTACTTAAGTGTTTCTCCTCCCATTGGGGATCTCCAGGCTTTTTACAAGGTATGCGTACCAAAGCAGATTGAGAAGCTTTACAAATTGCAATGTAGTTTTGGAGAAATGAAAGTGTTAGTAGATTATTGTGATAACCAGCCACGGGGTGATGAATTGTGGTATCTGGTATTGAACTGTCTGTGTGGGGCACGATCAAAGGCCTTTGTAAGCACACAGCCTTTCTGTCTGAGATGAGCATACCTGGGGAGCCTGTTAGGAGTGGTGGTTTGTTTCAGAGAAGAAAGCAGTGCTTTTCCATGTGTTTCCGTGCAGGAATCCAAGCAGAGGTTTGACACAGAGGAGGAATTTAAGAAGCGAGCTTACCAATGTGTGGTGCTGCTGCAGAGCAAAAACCCTGACTTCATTAAAGCCTGGAATCTCATCTGTGACGTGTCACGCAGAGGTGACTTCGCCACATCTGGAATCGTGTCTCAGCTATAGAACAGTGTGGCTTTCCTCACTTTATGTCTGAGCACACCCTTCTGTTTTCCCTTGAAAATCACTAGCTGAAAGCAAAAAGCCAGTACAGCCAAAGTACTGGGCTGTCTTAAGTGGAGACTTTCAGCTAAATCTTTTGTCTCCTGAGTCCTAGTCTGATGCCTTGACCGAGAAATGGATAATGCTTTTTCAGTCAGTGCTGTACCCACTGCTAAACATGCCACTGGTTCCCACTGTGTGCCTTTAATGTAAGTATTATGTTCTGTTTCCCTCAAGAATTCCAGAAAATCTACAACTGTTTGGACATCACAATCACAGAGAGGGGGGAATCCTTCTACCATGAGATGATGAAAGACATTGTGAAAGAATTTGAAGATAAAGGTGAGACTTTTGGTCTCGGGTCAGAAGTTCTGCAGCTGTGAGGATGAGCATGGTGACCTCAATCCTGTTCAGCAGGGCTTAAGGTTGATGCTTTTCAGTTGCATCTTCCCCATGTTTGCTTTTTTTTCTCAGCCATGTTTCCTAAGAGGACATTTTGTGGCTTTTCCTCATTCCAGAAGGACTGAATCTTTCTTGCTGATATCAAAAGCAGTTTGTCTGTGACATTTGTAAGCAGTAGCACAGGGTACTAGTGGAATTTATTGTATTCTGAGTAAACAGTCAAGGAGCAATCTATGACAGACTTCCCAGTCTTAGTGTTGTGACTGTGGGAACTTTTGTCTGAGAAATCTCTGTGAAGACAGTGGGATTTTGGGATCATGTTGACTTTGAAACTGGCAAAAAGCCAAGTGCAGCATAAAAAGTCTCTGGTTTTATGTGTTACTGTCTAGATTTTGCAGTTCTTGAATCTCACCATCTGAAGTGTTCTGTCTCACCTCAGAAAGACTCTGCAGAGTCCTCATCATACCTCTGTAGAGTTTCTGTTGCCTTTAATGCCGTATTTTGTCCTCCATTTGTGGCTGTAGAGGCAGATCTGAATGCAAATGATGGGAGTTTTTGAATTAGGTCTTTCCTGGTGAGGCCACGTTTGTGCAGATCTGCTTCCTTGCACATAGTTCTGGAAGTGCTGGACAGAATGGGACTTGTGTTGACAAGGGAGTTCTTGTGTAGGTCTTTTCATATTTTTGATTATGTGAGTGTGTGGCCTTTTCTTCCTGGTAGCAGCAGGGAGGGGAGGTGTTGCTGCTGGCCCAGAAGCTCCCTGGTGTGATTGAGCACAGGATGTTTTTCATTGCTTTGGCAGGATTTGTCCAGGTTGATGATGGCCGGAAGGTCGTGTTCGTCCCGGGTTTCCCTGTCCCGCTGACAATCATGAAATCGGACGGAGGTTACACGTATGACACATCAGACCTGGCTGCTCTGAAGCACAGGCTGTGTGAAGAGAAGGGTGACATCCTCATCTACGTTGTTGATAGTGGCCAGGTGAGTTCAGCACCCTCTGCTGTAACTGTTGGTGCTGGCCAGCACAAAGTGTGTGAAATGATGGATGCAACAGTAACACAGGTAGAACACCACAGGGTCTTTAGTGTGATTGGTATATTTATTCCTTATCTGAGCAGTGATGGGAATTAGCCATTTGCTGCTTCTGTAGGGCTAGAAAACTCTTGAAAAGGTTTAACTTTTCAAAGCAGAATTTGTGGAACTGGAAACACTTTTAAGTCTTATTGTGAGAGCATTGTTGTGACTAGGATAAAGCTATGAAAAACTGCACCTGGAGGAGCAGATTGAGAACCAGTTTTTGGTGTTTTATTTTCTTGCAGTCTGTGCATCTCCAAACAGTGTTTGCAGCTGGACAGATGATTGGCTGGTATGATCCCAAAGTCACCAGAGTGGCCCATGCTGCCTTTGGAGTGGTGCTGGGAGAAGACAAGTAAGTGTCTGGGTGTACTTTTTTCTCTGTCTGTACCTTGGAAAGAAAGTTTGAGTGAATGCAGGAGATTTGCCCTCATTCGTTGACAAGTACATATGTGGCACACCAAAAAAAACCAAAAGCAAGCACTGAGTCCTGTGCTGTTACCTGTAACTGTGTCTTGTGTTCTGTGTCATTGTCCTTGATCCTCACAGTCACTGCTGCTGTGGTCACATTCCCTCTGGAGCCTGGCTTCTGCTGCCTGGCATTTGGTGAGGGGCACTTGGATTGGCTGGTGGAAGCTAATGTGGTACTGGGAGATGGCAGTGGTAAAGGCCATGATTTTCATTACTTTCTACCTCCTTCATGGTAGATGAAACAAAAGTTGGGAAAAATCTGGTACTGGTGTTGTGTGCTGCTTAATGCCTGCAACTGGACAGTTCTGACTACTGAATCCTTCCTGGCCATTCCTGCTGACCACGCTGTGGGTGCTCTCTCCGTTTTGGAGCTGTCCATGTGATGGCAATTCCTTCAGTACAAAAGGATTTGCCATGTGCTTGCTGGGCACTAGGCAGAGGGTGGAATTGTTTTGCCTCTTATGCAGGTGATCATTTTGGCTGTGTGTTTGCAGGAAGAAGTTCAAAACTCGTTCAGGGGACACGGTGCGTCTCATAGATCTGCTGGAGGAAGGACTGAAACGAGCCATGGACAAGCTGAAAGACAAGGAACGGGACAAGGTAGTTGTGACAAATTGCTTGTCTTTCCTGAGAACTTCCCACATGTGTTCACAGACTTACGGTCTCTGCATTGCTTAGCGAGATTTCTGTCCGTCTTGCTGCATGCAGAGAGCTGGATAGTGTGGGACATGGAATGTAACAGAAAGACCAAACTGTCCAAGCACAGTGTGAGGCAGTGGAATTGAGAAAAGTAGTGTAGTGAAAGTGAAAAGTCCCTTTTTAAACAGGAACATGAGAAAGCAAGGGAAAAAAAAACCTTGAAAATCTCTAAAGGGCTCCTAGGAGTCAGGCACAAAGTGCTTTGTCCTGCTGCCACTGTTCCAGCAGAGAGGGGTTTGTGAGTGTTTGGATTGACCAAAATGCTCCGTAAGGGTAGGAGTACCAACATTTGTTCTGTGTACGTGTAAGAGGGGAGCAGAGCACATCACACCTGGCAGGTTGTGGGGCACAGAGGTCCTGTGGGCTGTCAGAAGGGGGAGTCAGCCCTAAGCTGGGCAGGGCTGCGGTGCCAGTGGATTGCAGGAGCAGTGAGGGCTGGGTGTGGGGTTGTCTGGTGCCCTGAAGCAGAGAGGTGCATGTGAACTGAGCACCACAGGGGTAAATGCCCTCAGCAGCCTGGACTCTCCTCCTGAGCCCTGCTGAGAGGCCAGGGCTGCACGTTGTGCTTCATTCTTCCTCTTGACTGTTGCCTGTTTGGAAATTGCACCAGGTCCTGACGCCAGAAGAGCTGAAAGCTGCCCAGACGTCGGTGGCTTTTGGATGCATTAAGTATGCAGATCTGTCCCACAACAGACTCAATGATTACGTGTTCTCCTTTGACAAGATGCTGGATGACCGAGGGAACACAGCTGCCTATCTGCTCTATGCCTTCACACGCATCAGGTGCGTGGGCAGGGAGCTGCAGGAGTTGGTGCTGGTGCTCTCTGCATCTGTGTCACAAAGGGACAAAGGGGTGACAGTCACATCAGTGCTGTTGGGGGTGTTTGCTAAGAGAAGTCATCTACACTGGTATGCAGCACAGACAAGATTTTATTTGTCATTGCACACAATGTGTCCAGTGCCACTTGAAATGGCTCCTCTGTGTGACACACAGCCCAGGGAGGGAACTGTGGGAGTTCCTGGGAAGCAGAGGAATTAGGTGGTTGGAAAAGCATCTGTGTTCCAGCAGCTGCTCAGCTCAGGTATTGCCACACCCGTTTTTGTGGCGCCCTGAGCCCTGGTTTGCTTGGCAGTATCAGCTGTGCTCGCTGATGCAGGTGCCTAGAGCCCATCCTTCCCTGTTCCTCTGCAGTGCCCTCCTGGACTGAGGGCTGACTGTCCTCTGGCCTGGTCACCCAGCCCTGAGCCAGGCCAGACAGGTGAGCAGGCTGGCCCTGGGCAGGCTGGGCAGTGGGACCCTCACAAGCAGACTCTGTTCCATTCCAGGGCAATTGCTCGCCTGGCCAACATCGATGAGCAGATGCTGCGGAAGGCAGCCAGGGAGGAGGTGCTTGTCCTTGACCATGAGAAGGAGTGGAAACTGGGCAAGTGCATCCTGAGGTTTCCTGAGATCCTGCAGAAGATCCTGGAGGACTTGTTATTGCACACACTCTGTGACTACCTGTATGAGCTGGCCACCACCTTCACTGAGTTCTACGACAGCTGCTACTGCGTTGAGAAGGACAGGCAGACTGGTGAGTGTTGGCCATGAGGTGCTGCGTGTGCCTGTGTCACATCCTGTGGTTACATCCATCTCCAGGGTGTTACCCTGTGTTGGAAAGGCTGTTGTCACACTACTGTGTCCATGTGGGAGGATTGACAGAGACTGGCAGAGTCCGTGTTCTGACTGAGCAGGAAGGTTGAGTAGAGTTGGGAGCAGCCAGGCACCTGGAAACAGGAGGGGTGGTCAGTCTGCCTGGTTTGGGGAGAGCAGGAAGGGTTCCATGTGCCAGTCCAGGACCCGGTTTTGGGTGGAGGGGCTTCTCCTAGGGAAGGTACTGTTGTTCTGAGCAGCTTCTCCAGCTCCCCTGTGTTTGTTTTCCAGGCCAGATCGTGAAGGTGAACATGTGGAGGCTGCTGCTGTGCGAAGCCACTGCCAGTGTCATGGCCAAAGGATTCGACATCCTGGGGATTAAGCCTGTGCAGAGGATGTAGCGGTTCCCTGTGGAATGACAATAAAGGGACTAAACAACTGCAGTTCTCTCTGTCTGTTGGACTGGGGTTGTGGTAAGGGAAAAAAAAAAGTAGAGGGGGGAGGGAAAAGGAGAGAAAAGGAGTGTGGCTTCAGCAGCTGCAGAAACAGAGGCAGACAAGCGGCTGTGAGCACAGCTCAGAGCAATTCTCGGTGCAGGAGCCAAAGCCCATGAACTGAGAGCACCCAAAGGTACCTCCAGGAAACCCTCCACCCACCCACACTCCCAGAGCCAACAATACTCTGATCCATACTCCCTCCATCCACTTTACCTTAGGTGCCAGGTATGAGCAGGCCACCCAGCCTTTGATGTCATCTGTGATGGTGCGGGGAGGCAGGCAGCAGTTTTACCTGGAGGAGCAGGAAGCCCAGGGGAGGAGCAGATCAGTTAAACTACATTCCCTCTGAGGAAAACACAAGGGAAATGCCTTTCCCCTCAGCAGCAAGGTTTTGAATCCCTACAGAGTTGCAAACCTCTTTGTGCAGTGCATAGCAATCGTGAGCAACTACAAGGAGCCACAGCTCCTGCCTTTGCCTTGGGGTTTGTTGGAGGCTCTGCTGTGAGCCTCCTAAAAAAACTTCCAGAGTCCTAAAGCAGCGCAAAAATGCAGCTGTGCTAGCACTGGAGAGAAGGTGTTGCATTGATGCAGGTGCTCACTGACATACGCATGTGTACATATGTGTGTGTGTGTATATATCTGTATCTATAGCTGTATCAGGTTCTTCCATGTCCAGAGCGCTGGGGAGGGCCCGGCTCTCACAGCTGCTCAGTGTCCAGCACCTCACGGGGTGGTCCCAGCTGGCACTTCACCAAGTGCACACCTGTGCAAACGCACTCTCCCGGTGGCTGAGCCCTGCCCACAAACCCCCAGGCCTGGCGCTGGTGCCGCAGTGACAGCAGGGTGACAGCCGTGTCGCGTCACCAGCTGCCCAGGCCGTGTGCTGTGCTCCCTGTCCCCCACACCCGTGCCATGGAGCTCTCCCTGCTCCCGGGGCTGAGGCAGAGCCTCGCCAGCCAGGCCCCTCCCGCCCTACCTGGGGCCACGCCGGGGTGGCAGCGGCGACGAGCCGGGTCCTGCTCGCGGGGCCACTTCAGTGGCAGAAGCAGCGTCAGCCGCAGTCCAGTGGTGGCCACAGTGACCAGTCCAGCTCTGGGTCCAGAGCAGCAGACCCAGGTGTTCCTCCAGGCACGGGCATGGCACAGGCTGCCACGCTGAGCTGTGGCCTCCAGCAGAAGGGGGACAGCCCTCTCCAGGCAATCCCTCAGTCTCAGCACCCAGTGCCTACCCTGGCAGGGAGGGGGTGACACCAGCAGCACCCCGGGGTGAGGGGCAGCCCCACAGCTCAGGGCTGGAGTCAGCAATGGTCATAGCAGGGGTGTGTGGAGTGTCCATGTGTGCAAGGGTAGCTCAGAGTTCCATGGGGCTATTCCACGGGCCCATGCAGCCAGGAACAGGGCCAGCTCTGTGCTGCCAGGGCTGACCAGAGGGTACGGGGCAGGCCGTGGTGTCAGGGCACCCCAAGGGCCTCAGATCTGGGCACAAGGGTTCAGGCCACTGTGGGGGAAACAAGGGCCCATGGTTAGGCTGGGGGTGGAGAGGGGCACTTAGGAGGCCTGTCTGGGCTGGAGACTGATGCCATGCAGGGATCAGACCCCTGGGAATCTCAGCTGTCCTGGGGTGGGATGTCACTCAAGCCAGGCACTGGTTGTGGAATCAGTGCTGGGGCAGCCCTGGGGCAGGGCCATGTGTCAGTGCAGGGGAGCCAAGGGGCAGTGTCCCCTGCCCAGACGAGCAGCTGGAGCAGAGGATTAGAAGGTCTGAGCTGACTGCTGGAGTGTGGACAGCACCCCTGAGGGAAAGGGGCCAGGGGTCAGGTGGGACAACAGGGCTGGCAGGGCAGCTGCCCTGTCCCACACCGCCGGAGCTGAGCCAGAGGTGGCAGCCAGGGTCAGCCAAGAGTAAAGATCATCAGACACATCCACGGCGATGAGGTCCGAGGTGGAGCCAGGAAGGTGAGTCAGCCAGGAAGGGAGGTCAGGATCAGGTCCAGGGACAGCAACCAGGTTAGCCACAGTCTAAGGATCACTAGGCAAGTCCATAATGATGGGCAAAGGCCGCGGTCAAGCTGGGAAGTCAGTCTGTGGGCCAAGGTCCAGCTTCAGATTACTGGGGTCAATGGCCAGGCACAGGCATGGCTGTTGCTCTGGCCAGGCCCCAGCAACAAGACTTCAACCCACTTTGCAGCAGAGCTGGCCAGGGCCTCCCAGCCAGGGCACATGGCAGCCACTGCCCCACAGGTGCTCTCTAAGCTGTCCCCAAGCCCCTGGAGTGAAGCCCCATCACGCTGGGGATGGAGGGGGAATGGAGGAGTGCAATAATGACACTCGGTTTCTCTTTGGTGGCAGCAGCAGGATGCCCATCTGCCACAGGCACAGAGCAGCAGCTGGGCTGGCAGGGACATTGCCCAGCTGCTGCTCCAAGCCAGCCACCCCCCCAGGATGCCCAGAGCTTTTGCTTGGTGACAGTGAGTGATGTACCTGGAAGAGCCTGTTGCACTCCATTATCATGTGGGCCAAGCCCTGCGTTGCTGCCAGGTTCTCGTTCAGCTCCCTCTGGTCTGGCTTCCCCAAGCTGCACTTCCTCTGACTGGATCTAGGAGAGGGGAAGGTGAGAGGAAGGCTGAGTGTGCAAAGTGCTGAGAACCACACAAAACACTCTGCACTGAAGGACCTGCATGGCCATGTAGGGCTCATGCAATGTGACCCTGAAGGTCAATTCCCTCCCAGCACATCCCAAAGCTGTCCAGAGCACTACTGACCAGTAGTAATGGACACCCAAGAAAGGCAAGTCAAAGAATTTATTCCCCAAACACATCTTCACACACTTGGCCAAGAACAACAATGACCCCAGGCTTATTTGTGTATAATCTTCAATATCAATCTCCTTTGATACCTGCAAAGCCCATGTAGAACTTTTTAAATCCCTTGGCCCAAAGCACACCCAACAGTTTCAAAAACAACCCCCTCTTTTAATTCATGCTAGTGGTATTACATCATTAGTCCTGGCTTCTGAAACTTTTATCTATGTACATTCCTGCCAAATGGCTTGAAAATTGGGTGGAAGATAATAGTCCTCAGTGCTGCTCCTCAGAGTCAGACCTGTCAGCTTGAAGCCTTTGAAGTGGGAACCATGCACCAAGGCATTAATGCACAGTTACAGCACAGCTACAGCTTCAAAGCATCCTGGCTTCTAAACACTGACAACAAAGAGAAAACTCCATTGCTATCTTTGGTCCTAACATTTCAGAGCAGCGTTGATGTAAAGCAAAGAGGAACAAGTCCCAGAGTGTAGCTCCTAGGAGCTCAGCACAGCAATCCAGCAGGACCTGCTGCCATCACATCCCCAGGTGCCCTCGCAGTGGCCCCGTGGCTCTCCTGCCATGTGCCAGCTCAGCACAGGGATGCCTGAGGCGTTTTCTGATGTTTTGTGACATTGAAAAAAAAATCCTCAGTGTTTTCTTTCCCTTCCCCTGTGCTGTCCAGAGCCTGAAAGATGCCAACAGCACATCTGACAGCTCCTGCTTTGGGACTAGTCCTTCCCTGTAGATCCCCAAGTGAGGTGCTCAGCTCACTACGCTGTAGGGAGCACGATGCTTCCTGCACAGCCAGCTGTGCTCTCCTTCCCTGATCCTTCTGTCCACAGCCCAGGAGCAGCAGCAGAGCAAACAGCCCTCAGGAGGCCAGATAAGGCATGAATGCTCTCAGAGATTATTTGTCTACTTTGGCCCAAGGGCACCTTCCTCCCTGCACGTACAAACGGGATGTTATGCAACCCAGATACTTTTACTTATTAAGATAAATTTACAGAATCCTCATGGCTCAATTTGGCAGGAATGATCCCCTTATCACCCAGCAGAACCAGTGCCAGTAGCTGCCTCAGTCTGCCAGGTACCTGCAGGGCCTTATGGCCACACTGGGCTCAGGTGGCCAGCACAGGAGCATATTTCCAATGGCCAGCACCACTTTAATGCCAGCAGTGAGCCACATGCTGGGCTCCTGGGCAGCCGGGGGAGTGCAGCAGTGGTGAGGGACACACACAGACTGGTCAGGAGCACGGCAATGAGGCCTTACCACAGCCCCCTGCACTGGGCAGCCACATTGCTCCATACACTGCAGGCAGCTCCTGCTGCACCTGAGCAATGGGATTTAAGGCAAACCCCAAGGCACACACAGTCTATTCCCCCCTCAAAATCAGAGCTACAGAAAGCATTGCTCCAGCACGAGCACTGGGGACAGCAGCACTGCCAGCATCAGGTGCCAATACCTGGTTGAGGAGGAGGAACTGTCCCGCCTCAGGGTGTTGAGGTGAAACAAAGAAGGTGCCAGACAGACAGCAATGTTGGTTGGGGTCATCTGGTTTTCCTCAACAAAAGCCACCACATCGCGCAGGAAGAACAGGAGGATTTTCAAAGCTTCTCGGTTTTCCTTGGGGAGAAGGAGAATAGCAGCCTGGACAGCCTGAAACTGCTCGTCCTTCGGCACGTCTGAAACCATAAACCATGACAAAAATCACTCGTGACCTGCACAAGCAGCATCCATCAGCAGGGTCCCAAGCAGGGCACTGAGCTGGTAGGTTCATCCATTTCCCTGTCCCAAGCTCACAGCAGACAAGGAAAGGCCATTATCCCATCAAACATGAACCATTTCTCCTACTGCCTGTCAAGTGCCTGTTCACACCCAGGGATGCTGCTGCCTGACTTGCAATTTATCTTGAACACCATGCTAATGAACATATCCTGAACTGAGTCACAATCCAAATAAGGACCTGTCTCCCCATAAAACATTACTCTGCAGTGATACTCTGGAGCTGCTCTAGTGTCTTTCCTTTCAGCTTCAAGCATGAAGAGAACAGATGCTCTCAGATAACTCAATTCAGAGACCAGTGTTTTGCCAACAGATTTTAATTCACACTAACCCCACTGAGACTGTCTGGCCAAACAGCTCTGGCAGCAGGGTCGGTCTGGTTCATCCTGCCACACATCCCCAGCACACAGATTTCTCCAATTAACACCACTGCAAAGGGCAGAAGATCACTTCTCCTTCCCTTCAGGTGGAAGTACATGCATAAAACACTCAAAACACACTTCTTGGTGAAAGCAGCACAATTCTTATCTCCAAAAGAGTAATTTAATTTGTGCACTTGCTCCAGAAGATGGGTGAGTGGGGCAAATAGAATTTGGGCGTTTGCTGCTTCTCTCCCAAAACAAGAGACAGAAGGTAGACAGTGGCCAGATTACAATAATTGAAGGAAAGAAGTTAAACATGCTTTGGACATGGGAATTGTGGATCTCCTTACAAAGGAGGATTTGTGAATGCAAGAAGAAAACTTATTTCAAACAAATAAATCATTTTCAAACAAAATTTTAAAACCCTGGCAGGTGATGAAATAAAACCCAACAGAACTTTCATGAACTGTACACAGAACAGCAGCTGCTCACTGACTTCGGTCAATAAAAGCCACATGGGTTAGGCTGCAACACCAGTGCTCTCAGAAAGCTTACAATTTGTCTTTCAAAACCTTTTCTCAAAAGCAGAATAAACTTGTCTGTCCCAAAAATATTATTAGCCCTACTTCAAGCTCCTTTCCCAATCCACCTGCTTTTTGAAAGCGAATTCCTTGAGGGCAAAGTAGTGGAAATAGAACCTGTTTAAACTGTATTGAATGCAATATTTCAGCTTTGTGTTTCCTTGGTTTTTGGGTTGAGTCTCAAGGACAGTAACAGTGTGAGCACAGGCAGAAAGCTGCTGGCATTTCCCAGCTGTTTCACAGCAGCTGTTCTTGGGCACCTAATAAAGAAATATATCAATACATCAGGTCTTCTCGCTCAAGGAGCTATGCCATGCCATGAACAAGGGGACCAGGTTATTTCTTAATTTAGCACAAGGAAATAACTGTTTAAAAGCACAGTTTAAGGGGGCTGCTGCAGCATTTCATTACACTCATCCCTCAGGGAAGAGAACTAGCTGGTTCATGGGATGCAGACTGGAAGCTCCCAAGTCCAGAGCCACAACGAACTCATCTTGTCAGAAATGTCCTGCCTGACTTATCTCCTCTGCTGGGGGACTTGGCACTAGTCCTGGTCTGGCCACTGCCTTGTACAGCTGAACTTTAAGATAGCCAAGGCACTGGAAACTGCTAGCTACAGGGGACATGAAAGAAGATGACATATGGACTCCATCATTCAGAAGGCTAACTCTCTTTTATTAAGAAACTCATTGATTTTTTTTTTTGTACTCTACTTCACTACAGGTGGACTTGAATGGTCCTTTAATTAAAACACCATCACCATTGTTTAATTAAGAAACCACCCTTCGGTAAACAAATCTCTTTAACACATTCCACATGTGCACAACACCAGGTGCAGCGAGTTAGGCTACAAATTGTTTATCATTCTTTTCTCTGATCTTTTCACAGCCTTTCCCAGGACGATGCCTGGGAAAGCTGTGTGTTTCTCTCTGTGACCAGAGAGCTGCCACGGCTACGAATTGTTTATCATTCTTTTCTCTGATCTTTTCACAGCCTTTCCCAGGACGATGCCTGGGAAAGCTGTGTGTTTCTCTCTGTGACCAGAGAGCTGCCACCACAGGAGAATGCCAGCTTTTGGTACCTACACTGGTAGATGTGGAGGAAGGATTCACAGAGCCTGCTGGTAAATATAGGCTCAGGAAGGTCACGGAAATACTGCTTCACCATATCTGCCACGTCAAATGCTGACTGCCCTTCATAACAGACATTGTTTGGGTTGGTTTCATTCATTTCTCTTAAAGACAGGATCCTGGATTTAACACCGGATTTTCGGAACAGGCCAACCTGTGGGTAAAAGAAATTATTCGAGACAAAGTGAGGAATCATTGGGAATCAAAATTTTGACAAAAAAAGTGATCCTTCACCTTCTAATAGCAAATATTCTATGGCAGTGGGATTGAACACCAAAATATTTTTGTATCATTAGAAGCCACATGGACATTTCTCCAAGGCAAATCATGCCTGGTGCCCACAGAATCAGCTGTGACATACCAATTTTCATCTTTCTTTGGCTTTTATTTCATACAAAACCACTAATTTTGCCTTTTAAAATCACTACCATTGACATATGTCCATTCTTTTGGGCAGGCTGTGTTTACACATGGCAACTCTCAGTTTCAAATTCAGCAATGTGTGTCCACCAATTACAAACATACATTGAGTGCTGACTTACACAAACTGACTGTGAGATGCACAAGACTCCCTGTAACAACTGATATATCTAATCCCTCCACAGGCTGGCAAAGGGATGCCATTTTGAAGGAAATTTTGATGTTCTTTTTGATGTGATTGTCAACTGAGTGAGATTTAGGAGTTTCCCATGAGCTCGACCCACCAAAACTTCTGGTGACAGTTTTACTCAGTGCCACTGAGACAATATTTACACTCTCTGGTTTATTTATATGAACTGAATGGATACCATAACCTCAAAATGAAAAAAACTTGCATTGTCACTTCACAGACGTGAAGTCACACACTTTTGCACTTTGGCATCATGTAACACATCTAGACAATGGCAAAGCTCAGGAAGAAAAGTCCTCTCTTTAACTAATATGTCTCATGTCACAAGGTCTTCATTTCTGCAGCTATGCTATGGGAACAGCATATACAGCACACACTTCCTCTGCCACCTCCACTCAGGGGATAAATACACAGCTGAGCTCCAGAAAAAGTTGGAACAGGCACTGCTGTAATGTTTTCTCTCTGCTTAGTGGTGCATTTCAGCTGAAACAAGACTAATTTTCACATTAGCTCTGGCACTACCAGCAGCCACAGAACAGAGGGAACGATGACACTGTCTGGCAGATTTGCCTCCTTGGGGAGCAGAGGCATGACACCTCCCCAGGCAAAGACAGCCTGACTGCCTGCACCAAGAGGGTTTCAGTAAGGGAAGGCACAAAAACACAGCACAGGGCTAAAAGTACTCCCAGAGGAAATCAGCACTGGCATTTCCTCTCAGGCAACCTGCTCAGAGCTACACCTTCTGCGTATTCAGAGCCTTAGGGTGTAAAAAAGTCCTTCACAAAAGTATAAAAGAGAGTCTGCTTCCCTGGAGCAGATCTGTCGATGGCCCAGAGCTCCTCTGGGCTGCCTCGAGTTCATACCTGGTCAAGAAAGTGGCTTCTCAGATACTCCAGGGCTTGCAGGATGCCATTGGGCAGGGGGTGGCTTGTTCGCTGCACATTCAGAAGTAAAGGAACCCCAAACACATTTTTGTCCTTGTAGTCTGAAGCTTTTGGCTTTTTAATGAACTTTGGAATGGTCCTGGAAACAAAACCATGTAGATGCAGCTTACTAGGTGTCCAGCACATTGCACCTGCTCCTTTACACTCATCAGAAAGGGCTGAGCTCCACCTTGTCACAACCCCAAATTCTGCCACACACCTGTACACACAGCATCAGGAGGGAGAGAAAATCAGCAAAGGCAATTACAGGGATGACTTCCTCATTTCATTGCTGAAATTAACTTTAATAATGCATCCTCATAGGAAATACATTCCATACAGGACTGCAGGGTTTTTTCATTCTTTCTATATTCAAGTACCAGCTCCCCATCACAAAATGTACATAAGTCCTCTGAGTGTCTGCATTTGTCACTGCTTTAGGTCAAACAGACCAGTGCTAAAGGGCTGGATTCTCAGTCCAGCCAATTCTCACCTTAGGTCCCACAGTCCTTGGGATGGTCCCCTGAAAAAGCCCTGCAGTTGGGCAAATTTAAAGACAAATTGTGATGTGCCTTAAAATCAGTAACAGCACAACCAGCAGCGGGGGGCAAAGGCCAGAGCAGAGGAAATCCTGAAGCCATGGAAATAACCATGATGCTGCTGGCAATTTAATAGGATGAAATTCTTCATCCTGAACATGTGCAATGTACGCAGACAAGGAAATTCACATGCTTACATCAACTCCTCTCTTTCCAGCTCAGGTTGTTTTAATGTCAGACAACTTACCAGTTCCAGCCCTGCTTACTGCAAGGGGAATATCTGTCCATTAAAGCTGTGAGTTTCAACAGTGCCAGCTTTTGTGTGCGGGCCAGCTGGGCAGCTGACTGGCCATCATTCTGGAGGGAAAGGCTTTCCAGGTTCTCTTCCACAGACCAGTGCTGCTTCCCGTGCCTACAGGATAAATATTGCTTTACCTTAGGACCATTTCCACCATCCCTGTATCCCCGTTTGCTACCTGCATCTGTGAAGTACCCAAGACTCTAAATGTTATTTGCACTTAAATAGTTATTTGCACTTAAACAAGGTACTTCCCATCCAGGAGGGCCTCTGGCAATACAAACTGTTTCCCTGGTTCCAGTGCCTGAGTGCTCATGCAGATTTTGAGTGTCCTGCTTTCAGCAGAGGTCAGATATTGGTGCCCGTGGAGCAGTACCTGCCACCAGCAATGCAGACCTTGCTACCTAGGACAGACTTTAGAATACTTTGTTCTGGCAAATCAATTCTATTTTGAGTGGACAGAATCAAAGGCAAACCCAAAGATGCTGACCTGTTGGTCTTTTTAGAGTCTGTGATGTATGTCAGGTCTGCAGAACCAATCTCCTTGCCCAGGCCACAGCTGCTCTCTCCCTCAGCCTCCCCTGCTGTCTTATCTTCTGAGCCCTCTGTTTCTACAGAGCTTTCTTTAGGGGAGGGTGGATACAAAGAGGTCAAGTCACTGGTAAAGTCAGAATCCCCATCATCTGATAACTTCTCTGTCCACTGATCAACCAGCTTCTTGAGACCATTGACATCTGCTATGACGCTGTTCAGCTCTGAGAAAATGTCGTCGTCGCCGACTTGCGCGGCCTCCAGACCCTGCAGCTCGGGGCTGGGCATGTTGTCATACACACTCAGCCTGTGATCCCTGCCCAGCACGGGGCTCCTGGCGCCTCTGGGGTCCCTGGAACCGCTCCTGCTCCGGCTCCTCCTGCACCCGTGGAAGCTCCCAGTTCTCCAGTTGACGGAAGAGTTGTCTGCTGGAGACAGAGAGCTGTCTGTAAGTACTGTGGGGAAGGTGCCAGGTTTATGGCCTTGTGGTATTTGAAACATCAGGCTCTTTTGTACAGTCATGTCATTTTTTAGGTTTTGCTGGGATCGATCATTCCCCAGCAACAGCTTGCTGGTGTCCATGTGCTCTGCATACGTCTCCCTTCCTTCACAGGAGCTGCCTGGTTTTATAACAGGGCTAGGAGTGCTCCCTGTGCTGCTGTTTACAGACTGATTGCTGCTATTGCAGCTCTGGGGAGAAAAGGAGGAATTGTTCTTTGTTCGGATGCCAGAGAGGTCAGAAATATTTACACAGTTCAGCATCTTCATCTTTTCTTCATTAAGTCCTTCCAGAAGAACAGGTTCACTTATTATGGGTCTGGCCTTTGACTGACCACTCCTTAAATTGCAGCTCCTTAAGTGCAGCTTCTCCATTTTCTTTAGAAGGCTCTTCCTCTTTTTTGATGGTGACTTATCCAAAAGCTTCTCCTCACTGGTGATATTTAAAAATTCACTGGGGGGAGGAGAACAACTAAAAGCAGAGTCCAGTGAAGGTACCTTAACTGAGGAACATCTTGAGGAGCTCGTGCTCGTTTCCACATCTTCAAAAGGTTTTTGGGAGTTAACAATGTCACTGTCAGCACTGCTGGTGCTGTGAATTGAGGACACATCGTGCTTCTCACCATGATCCAGAAAGAAATTATCCTTGTTGTTGATGATCTTCAACACTGGGCTGCCTGGGGTGGGAGCACCAGCCCCTTCCTCTGCTGGGAATCCTGCCAGGCTCTCAATGCGAGACCACCGCTGGCTGCACCTCTCATAAGCCCATCTGTCACTTATTGCACAAGGCTCATCATCTTCTGAGTCGTCACTCTTAGAAGGAGAAAAAAATAACAACACCAGTTTAAGGGCAAAGTTTGGCAAATTTTAAGTTCAAAAACCAGTTTAACATAAAAAATAGACTTAAATTTTCTGCCGACTTCCAAAAACCCCATGACCAACATATGGAAATGTGACCATTCAGACACTGAAGATCTGCCCTAAGTTAGTTGAAAAAACATGCTGACAAATGATGCCCAAGCATGCTGACAAATCTGGGAAGCTGACCACAGAAAAAAGTGACAGATTTGATCTAAGGGTGAAAAATCCTGGTTTGTGGCAAATCCAAGGGTTTTGAAAGATAATTGTATTGGGTTTACACTGCCTTTCCTAAAGTCAAACACATCAAACACTCTCATACTTCTGTGACCAAAACTCATCCATTTTCAGGTAAAGAAGTGTTTAGCTGTGGGACTGTGGCAGCATCAGTATCTCTGGCACCCTTTTGGAGCCCTCAGCCTCCCTTGCCACCTGCACCAACTGCCCCCTTGCTGGATTGTCCCCACTCTGGGGGACCGCTGGGACAGTGAAACGTTGGAGAGATGGGAGCCACCTGTCTCTTCTCTCTGGGCTCTCTTGCCCCATTCTGCCCTAAGAGAGAGCAGAACTCTCCAAAACTCAGACATTTTTCCAGAAGATGGCATTATTTTCTCACTAGTCCTGCAGTTAATCCACGGTGGCTCAGAGGCTTTGCAGAGCTGGTGCTGCCCAGCCAAGCTGTGGCCACCACTCTGATTTAGCTGCAGGGACAGAGCACAAAGACAGCACAGCTAAAACCTACCCAGCTTGTATTGGCTGAACATTTGGATTGCCCTTTTAATTTCTTTGTTAAGTCGACAGGAGTGAAATTTCACTTTTAGCACTTAAATGAGGGGGGAAACTACTTAGGAAAGCAATGATAGCCATGCTGAGATGGGGCTCTGGGGCAACTGTTGGACAGTAATATGTGTCAAATCAAATTTTAAAAGTGTTTCAAAAGCCACCCCTAACCTGCCTTGCAAAGTTTCAAATCCCTATGTTTTCTCAACATAAAAAAATGCAAATAGCAGAGCTTTGTGGGATGGAATAGAAAGGAAAGTTCAGAAATTGCTAATCCTTCATGCACTTTTAAACCCAGGTGTTTGTTATAATAGCTAAACACATCTTTAATTAGAACAGCAACTGTATGTTACAGACATACCCGTTTCCTATCACGGCTTATTTCCACTTTCATTGATGCATACTTGTTCAATGTGTTCAACCTTCTAGGGTTTGAGAAAAAACACAGGAGTTTTAAATTTCAACTATTTGATTGCTTGAAAACAAACATGCACCAAACTAGTTGTGATCTTCTATCACGGAGTCTTCACTATTGTCAAAGTCTGACATTCTGTTAGAGGCTCCCATACACTGGCCCCCAAAACCAGCACCAATAACAACACCATGATGTTCACACTTCTAGTTCTGCCATCTTAAAACTAGAGAAGACTAGTTTTAAGATGGCAACTATAATCAATCATTTAATTTAAAAAATCATATTATTAGCTTTCTGGTTGTGAAATACTTCATATTGATTTAAGATTTTGAAAGTAAATTAAATTCTGTGTGAGCTTCTTGAAAAAAAAAATTAAAAATCAAGATGTTAACCTGTATCCCTGGAAGGACTGCATTATCTATCATTTTAATTAAAGCTTGTGGAAGCAGTAAGGTCCCCAGACTAGTCAATCACTTAGTTGTCAAACAATAAGTGGCATCAACAGGAGGCACACTGAGTCTCCAAGGAGCACTCAGGACAAAGTGACACGAAAAAAACAAAATATACCCAAAGTTCTCTAAAGCTGTGCTTTAGAGACGTGTGTGAACAACTCCTCTTGGTGCTCTGTTGCAGGCAGAGCTGGAGTTCAGGTGACCTGAGAGCACAGAAAAGGACCAGAACACCTTGCCAGGAGAGGAACTTTGCAGTGCCCTAAGTGTTAGAAATCATCATTTCTGCTGAAGAAACTCTGCTAAACAATCCCATCATGAGGAGGCTGCAGTAACTGCAGTACCAACGGAAGCAGGAGCCTCATGCTATCCTGGCACTGTTCCATGGGGAAATTCCACAGGGCCCTGGGTCTGACCTGGCACTGACAATGCAGGTTCACTTGTGTGCTCTTAACAGTTGTGGCAAAGCAATAACTTCAAACCAGTACCTTTGCTTCTCACCCAAAAATATTCAGGAGAACAGAACAGATCTCATGCAGATAATTTCTTTTTGTCTATCTGCTGGAACAGGAGTTGGAGGAAATTCCTGCACTCCATTATACATGATCCTAGAGAGCAGCCTGCCATGCTTGCAGGGAACTGGTTATTTTTAATCAGCTTGCAGCCATTTCACATCACAAAGAAGATATTTAATGCCCAATGTAACATCCCTGAGAGCTTGGCTGAAGAGGAAGTGCAGACACGTGCTTAATTTACCTTTTAATTCCTAAAACAACCAACTATAGTGGCACTAAACTATGCACTGAAGTGATTTCCTTCAGTCACAGATTTGGTGATTTTGTTCCTCTCTGACAAAAGCAGAGGCAGGAAAAGATGAGTAACCAGTAACTGGGGGGCTGGGGGTATCAAAGATGATCCATGATTAATGTTTACCTGAACAGTGATTCAATCGCATCTCCATCTAAAAATTCATGATCTCTCCTCACAGTTTTTACATCAATGGGAAACTGCATATCTGTGAACAAAGAAGTTGAATCTGAAACCTGAGTTGTAATTGCAAAGACTTTCAGTTTTGCAGCTCATTTATCACAGTTGAAATGAAACTACTTCTATTTCTATGGCTGTGCATTCCTGCAAACATCCTTCCAGCAAGTGAGGATCAGTTCCTTAGGGCAAGTGGGAGAATAAATGCAGGGATCTGCTTGCTGCTGTTATTAAAGGTGAACAAGCCCTTCTGCATCTCCAGGAGCTTGCAGTCACTGAGTGCCATAGACAAGAAACACAAAATAACCTTCAGATTTGCTTTGGTTCTCTGCACCTTCTACAGAATAAAGCAGGGATTGTTTTACACGAGCCTTTGCCATGGTGAGGTGCAATGCAGCACATGAGGTTCTCTGAGCTCTAAGGAGCCTGACACATCACGCTGGGCTGGAAGCTGAAGAGTTCAGTGTTTCAGCTCCTGAGATTTAGCCTTGCACATGAGGGAACCACTGAGGTCCATATGTGTTTTCTTAGCTCATTTTATAAGCTTTATTTTCCTAGCCAGATCAGGAAACAGCATAAACAGCAAGGTAATGCAGGGGATTCATTTTCCAGAAGCATGGCAATGCACATTTCCAACAAACAACCTACAAAATACAATCTGCTGTAGGCAGACAGGAAGCATTTCCAGGTTTCATGGAATACAGCTTTCAACCCAGCTCTAAGGCTTGACTTCAAATTTTCAATTTTGCAGTGACCAGGGTAGGTGAGAATGAGAGAAGTTAATGTTGTTCTTTTAACTGTAGTTCTTTGATAAAATCTTTCTTAAAAATAGGTTAGCTTTTGTTACTTTCAGTGATTGTAACAAAAAACATATTTTAAAGAAGAACCATTTTAAGGCATATGCACAAGTGTGGCCTGAAAAATTATACAAGCTCTCAACAAATTCATACCTCCTCCCAAGAAATAAGCACACTTTGTAGTTTTAACAACATGAAAACATGCTGAAATTACATTTTTGGCTGGCTGCTGCTGAGTATTCCTCCTGAACACTTATGACTGCAAGATGATTTTTTCCAACATTCTTTTTCAAAACACCAATAAAGCAATCTCACTCAGATCACAGGCTGGAGAGCCTCAGAGGAGTTTTGGTTGCAATCAGTGGTTGGAAACATCACTTCCAGCACCCCAAGGAAAAAAAGGCTGGAAAAATTATAAGCAACTAAAAACAACAAAATCAGAAATTTGACTGAGTTATAGTCTAACAATAGGGAAAGAAAACCAGGGAAGATTTGGTCCTTTAAAGAATTGTTCTGAGTCCCTGCTGAGATGTCCCTTCTGCAAGGAAACACACCAGGTCACTACTTTCCTACATGTTGGCATGAAGATATAACAGAATTTGGAAGTGCTTCCATCAGAAGTGTCAGGTTCTAAAATATATTATTTATGTGAACAATTCCACTCAAATTCAGTGTCAGCTGCTTGGCAAGTCTTTGTGATCATACCTTCAAACAGCTGAGCATACTGGGGAAATCCAGCAGCTCTCAGCCAGTCGCAGGCTTCTCTGGCTTCAATTTCTGCAATGAGAACACACAATTGTTCATGGACAGTGCTCACCAGAGTCAGTGATAAGCTAATTTCACCTGGCACACTCTCTGAGAATCTTGCATGTTAATGTTTTGTTAGGATATTGCTAAAAAGGAATAAATCCTTGTATCCAATGCAGCTACATGCACATAGCTCTGCAACAGTCATTCATACTATTGAGATAAGCAAACACAGGATTGGCAGATTTGAATACATCCTTGGGATGTCTCACAGGGGGCTAAATCAGCTGTCCCTGAGCTGGGGCAGTGGGGCATCTGCTGCAGTAGAAATGAGTGACCAGAGCAGGGTGTGGGGCACACATCTGTGCCCTCACACGGCACAGCCTGCTCATGCATTCCAGAGCTGAGCAATGGTGATAAGACACAAACAAATCCTATAAATAAACTTAAAATGCTCTCACAACTTTAATAACACTGGCCACGGCCTAAGCATTCCCAGAACAAGAGTTCTCAGGAGTACCTGTTGCTAGGGCCTATCAATATTTATTTCCTTGCCAACTACCTACACCGCTTGGCAGCCAGTGCAGCACAGCGGATGTCAAGAACTCGCGGCTCACTCTGTGACAACCGGGGAAGGCCTGTGGCCAGTACTACCGAAACATTCCCAGAGAGGCAGAGCAGAACACAGCCTCACAGAACCACACACCAGGCTCCTCAAAACCACAGGCAGGTCAGCAGGGGTGCATGCCCCCAGGCTCTGATCTCTGCCAGCACTGGGAGTGTCTGGGTCTGTGGAAGAGGAGAGGATTCCCAAATCACTTTCTGTAGGTCTGTGCACACCCCAGAGTGTGTCACACCACACACCAACCTAAAAGCAAAGACTTCTTTGAAAGGAACATTGTTGAGCTACCTTAAAATCCAGCATGCTCAGTAGACAGAAATGGTTTTAAAGCACCTTAATGAGTAGCATGATAGGCCAGAGGAACAGAGCTGTTCCTTAAAACTATTTTCTTTACACATACACTCACAGATTAGGATTCCAGGGCACTTCACATACATACCTGTTCAAGTTCACTGCTTGCTTTGCTCAGACTTCTCAATTTTAAGTCATCAGTGCAATCAGACACTAACCAAAAATATCACACATCTTCCATGATTTTATTTTTCTGCTTTAAAACTTAAAATTGTTTCCATTTTCACTTAATCAAATTGGACAATGCCGTTCTAACAGAGACTTCCCTGCACAAAACTATAAGGCTTTTTCATCTGAGAATAAAGTGATACCACAGGAAGACCGAGATATTTTTACACAAAACAGATGGATGAAACTCTTTTTTCATACTGCAGAACAGAAACTAATTTCTTCTACAACAGCCTATATACACTATGCCTATATTTATTGCTATACTTAGTGCCATAATTTATCATAATCTTTACCACAATACAGCATTTACGGTAATAAAAGACAAGCATTGTATTCGTAGAGTAAAAGAGGAAAAAGAAAAGCTATTTGTAGAAAAGAGCCAGGAGGATGACCAGTCTAACACTAAAAGTTTTCATGAAGTGATTTTTGTTTAGAAAACCCCGGTAGATCCACTCAGCTGTGGAGAAACTGTAGCTGTCCTCTTTGCAGACCTCAGCCTACTCAGCCAGAGCCTGTGCACAGGAATCCTGAGCTCAGACAGGGACTCTAGGGGCTGAGTTCCCCAGTTCACAACATATTAAAAGCACAACTCCATTTTTAGACCAAACCAAGCCATGAAAAATGATGCAAAATAGAACAGAAATATAACACTGAAAAATATTTTGCATCTAGTGAGGCTATTTTCAATGAATATGCCTGAAAATAGACACTTACAGGTGGCTTCTTCCATAGAAGACATAGAAGGACAGAGGAGCTGGGGAATTTTCTTTGCTGATGTAAATCTCCAGGCCTTTTAACATACCTTTGCACAATCACAGGGCATGCTTGGATTAGATATTAGGAAGAAATTCTTTTCTGTGAGGATGGTGAGGCCCTGGCACAGGGCGCCCTGAGAAGCTGTGGCTGCCCCATCCCTGGAAACGTTCAAGGCCAGGCTGGACAGAGTTTGAAGTAACCTGGCCTAGACAAGAGGATGACAACTTATTAACATCTTTTGGGTGCTATCTGCACAACTGAAATAGCAGAGCGACCTAAATGTGTCACCTCCCTCTCCTGAACTGATTTCATAATTAAGCAGATGGGGAAAAAAAAAAAAACCTGCAAAATGTAATATTCCTAGTTTAGAGGCTGCCAGCAACTCTTCCATGCCAAGCCAGCTATTTCCCCACAGGCTATGGATGGTAGGTTACTACCAGATGTTTATGAGAAACAACACAGAGTACCCAGGCTGTGCCACCCTTTGGCTGCCCTGTGTCCCACAGGCATGTTCTGTGCTGAGGACTCAGCCCAGTCCCTGCAACGAGCACTCAGAGTCCTGCCTCTGCCCCAGCCCAGCCCCTCCACAGCTGCTGCCCCTTCCCCATGCACCCCCCTCCCTGGAGCCCTAGCGCCTCCACCAGCTGGGCTGTGACACCTCCCTGCAGCCTGGGCTGAGGCTGTGGGTGCCCATGTGAGAGTGTCCTGGGCGCAGCCTGCACCTCCCCTGCAGCCTGGGCTGAGAGGCTGTGTGTGCCCATGTCAGAGGGTCCTGGGTGCAGCCTGCTCCTCCCTGCAGCCTGGGCTGAGAGGCTGTGTGTGCCCATGTCAGAGGGTCCTGGGTGCAGCCTGCTCCTCCCTGCAGCCTGGGCTGAGAGGCTGTGTGTGCCCATGTCAGAGGGTCCTGGGTGCAGCCTGCTCCTCCCTGCAGCCTGGGCTGAGAGGCTGTGTGTGCCCATGTCAGAGGGTCCTGGGTGCAGCCTGCTCCTCCCTGCAGCCTGGGCTGAGAGGCTGTGTGTGCCCATGTCAGAGGGTCCTGGGTGCAGCCTGCTCCTCCCTGCAGCCTGGGCTGAGAGGCTGTGTGTGCCCATGTGAGAGTGTCCTGAGTGCAGCCTACAGGACCCACACTCCTCAGGTACCTGGAAACAGATGCTACAATGGGAATTAAATCCCTATCAGAATGAACGGCACTGTTGACCAGATTGTTTGCAACAAAGGAAAGACATCCATGCTGAGATTTGGGCATTGTCTCTGAGATGTTTTCCTGACAAGAAGCACTATCCTAACAAGGCAACCAGGCAGAGGCAGCAACCCAAACCAGTGACAGCTGTGTATCAAACAGGCCAGTCAGCCTTACTGTGAGGTGAGCGAACTTCAGCTAAAGAAAAACATCAAACTGTACTGCAAATTTTAAAATACTCAAAATAAAATGGGAGAATATAAATTCTTTTTGAAAGCACCAGCACAGTGAACCTTGCCAGGATGCAGTGTGCCTTTCAGTTGCTGCCAAAGCAGGAGACCTTCCATTCCCCAACTGTGAGCTCCTACTCCTCACTGACACCCCGAGCCGATGCCAGAAGGTCCTGTCAGCCAAACTGGCAGGAAATGAGTCACTTTTGTTTGGCAAGATGAGATTTAAGAAGTTTTAGCTTTCTGAATTGGCTACCACATGCTCTGATATGTTCCAGGGGCAGGACAAGGGCGCTGGTGGGTCCATGCAGGGACGTTTGGGAATGTGCAGCTGCCTGCCCAGGCCAGGGAGCTCAGCCTACTGTGAAACCTTTACCTAAATGTATTGCATTTACAGAGGTGTCTCATTGTAGGTCTTTTTCAAAGCAACTTTTTAACAGATTTTTAAAACCAATGATAGATGCATTACTTCTATCTCCATCCAAAATAGTTTTCCAGTTTCAACAGGTAGGAATCACATGGTGATCAGGACTTCATTAATTAAAGGGATTTAAATCTGAACACCTTCCAAACCATGGCAGAAGAAGAACAATTGGAGAGGTTTTATTGCTGTTTGCAGCACTCCTGCATTAGTTACTGCAGGACCCTCCTTGTCCCATGTTCTGTAGCATTTAAGTGTGGTGCTTGTGGCAAAGAAAGGATTTCTCAACATGCCCAGGAGACAGAACAGATCAGAGGGTAGGATTGACTCCTCACTGACTGCACATTGCACCACTCTGTAACGAAACAGAAAAAAATCCCAAAGGATTTTGCTCTTTCCCAGCCTATGTCATTATACAGATCTTTTTTCTCTCTCTCTAAATGCCAGTAATCCTCCTCAACAGCCACAGACAAGCAGGTGCCCAGGGTCCCCACTCCCAATGTGCCTGATGTGCCAGGCAGGGCCAGCTGTGCCTCCCAGGGGAATGCTGCTGCCTCCCCTCATTCTGACACCCAGACTGCCATTCCCCAGCCTCCCAGAGCTGCAGTCACCAGCCCCTGTGCACGCTTGGCAGCCACATGTCAAACTCTGCCACACATTTTGCCTACAGCTCACGAGCCCGGGGCTGGGAACTGGCAGGTCCTTTATGCACTGCCTCAGATCCTGTCACTGCTGCTTGTGCTGGCAGTGCTGGAAGCGACAAGGGGTTTTCAGGTTCCAATTGAACATCAAATGATGAGTTTCCCATCACATCTTTCTGGTTTGTGCATCTTCCTAGGGTTGTAAGAATTGATGTATCTTCCCTGTGAGTTACAGCTGCTAATGAGTTATCTCATTTTACACACACCCTGTGAAAAATGCATTTGCTGTGCTAGAACTCTGATTTCTGGACGTTCAGAACTGCATTTTACCTGTGACAGGATTTTTAATAATTGTTTTTATTTACATTATATCCTTTTACTTAAAAAGAGAGTTGGAACATGATGTCTGCTCCATGCTGAAGGCTCAAAAGCAATGCTTTCAAAGTAGGGTGTTTGCACTGACCAAGATATGCAGTCAGGGACTTGTAAAACTGTCCAACTCTCCAAGAGCTAAGATGGATCATAAATAATTGGAAATGTTTATTCTGTTGTCTCTTGTGCAATGCAAAATATCAAAGCTTAATTGTACTTTACTAACCCACTCGAGGAAGAGGAGAAAAAAAAAAGAGATTATAGCTTGGAATTTAGCCAGGATAAT